TTGATTTTGTGGATAGTGTGAAGTAGGAGTGAAGAGTCTTTTTTCCCCCCATGGAAATCCAACGGATCCAGCACTGGTTCGGTTAAACAAAACGTTGCATGGTAATATCTGGGTGTTTCCTGTATCATTTGCTCAACTTCCCTATAGGTTTAAAAATGTTTTAAATAAAATATTGGGAGAAATGATGAAAAAAGGTACGGAGACGGTTGTAGGTAAGTAAGTACATACTATGGAAATAATTCCAAATGCGATCTGTAAGTCTTGATTTGATGCTGTTGAAAAAAATAACAACTATAAAAGACATTCTTTAAACAATTGGGGAAATTTGGGAAATTTGGGAATGTACTGGCTATTACAGCATATTACAGTATGATTGTTCACTTTCTTTTAAAAAATTTTAAAGTTTATTTATTTATTTTGAGAGAGAGAGAGAAAGAGAGAGAGAGCACAAGCAGGGTAGGGGCAGAGAGAGAGACGGAGAGAGAGAATCCCAAGGAGGCTCTGCGCTGACAGAGCAAAGCCCGATGCAGGCTCCAACCCTTGAACCGTGAGGTCACCACCTGAGCCAAAGGCAGATGCCCAACCGACTGAGCCACCCAGGTGCCCCGATTGTTCATTTTTTTTTTATGTTTATTTATTTTTGAGAGAGAGACAGAGTGAGAGTGGGGAAGGGACAGAGAGAGAGAGAGAGAGAGAGAGAGAGAGACACACACAGAATCCGAAGTAGGTTCCAAGCTCTGAGCTGTCAGCCCAGAGCCCTATGTGGGGCTCGAACTCACAAACTGCGAGATCATGGTGGGGCAGGAGCCGTGGTGTGGGCCAAACAAAAAGGAGTTACAGGTCAGATTATTCCAGCCAGTTTGAGATTTCTGGTCTAGGGCCTCAGCTCAGCTCTCACTTACTCTGAATCACGTCCCTGTAGAGGTGGGCAACACTGGGTCCATTTTGTAGGCAATGAATAGAATCTGAGGGGTAAATGACTTGTTTATGGTCACACAGCTAGCTGAGACCAAGCCACGATTTGAACCCAAATCCGAGTCAAAATTCCCTGCCGAGAAAAGCAGAGAAATTTTGTTGTTTAAGCTTCTTCTGCCCCATCCCATTTTCCAGGGGTGTTGGTTAGGTGAGAGCTGTGTGCATTTACCACGTGCCTGGTTTGGCATGGATTACTCAAATCCTCGCAACAACTGGATGCAATTGTTACTAATAATATCTGCCATTTTACTGAGAGGCACAGAGAGGTTAAGCAACTTGCCTGAAGTCATTCAGCTAAGAATGGAAGAGATAGGAGCCATGGAACCTAGACAGTCTTGCTCTAGAGCCCTCACTTACAGGCTCAGACACTGCAAAAAGTATAAATTACCTTAGGAATAGAAAGTGGGATTATTGTTGACTCTCAAAGAATCCCTCCTGATTGCTTCTGGCATTCCAAGACAGCCTCACAGTTCCTGGGAGATGTATCTACACCAGGAAGGCTTTCCTCTCCAATTCAGCTGGAAGGCTCTTGAAGCTGGGCTGGTTCTTCTGACCTGGGGCTGATCTTAAAGCATTCTTTTGGTTATGGTCACACACACTATCCTACGGAGTAGGATACCAACTTGCAGGGTGCGAATTAGTAGCCAGATGTAATGTTGACGTAAGTTACCACCTAGTGGTCACAGGTCTGCCTTGGGAGACAGGTCAGTTTTGATTTGAGCCCTTACTGCAAGGCTTGGGGGAATTGCTTCCCCTAGGAGCCTCAGTTTCCTCATTTGTGTAATAGCAATAATGAGAGCACAGACTGCAGGGCTGCTGGGGCAGTTTAACGACATAAGTAAAGCCCAGCGTCTCTCAACCCAAGTCCTCACGTTGATAATTGTTATCATTACACTCCTTATGATTCTGTGGGATGTGGACCCTGCCTAGAGATCTAACCTTTATCCTGGGTTTGGATAACCTGGGGAGAGAGGAAGCTTTCTGACCTCAGGGCCTTTGTGCCTGCTGTTCACCCTTTTATGTCTCATCCCACGTCACCTGGTCAATGAGGCCTTCCTTAACCACACTAGCCTGCCTCCAATACGTTCTCGTGTTTTATTCTGTTCATATCATTTATCAGTACCCGATACTACGAACTGATTTGTCTCCTTTTCTCCTCGCTTTCGAGCGTGAGTTCACGAAGACAGATTTTGTCTGTTTTGTTCTCTGTAGCGTGCCCAACACCAACAACAGCGTCTGGCCTATGGCCTATGTCTGGCTTTTAATAAATGGTGAGGTGAATTAATGAATGAATGAGTGAAGGTGTATGCCGAGCCCTTATGCCTATAATCCCCGCTCCACTGTCGCAGTAGGCGACCAGCAGCGTCAGACATTGCAGACGGCCCCTTGGCTCCCGGGCTAGGGGCGCCCTTGCGCGGAGCCCACCGGCACTTGAGCGACGCTCCCCGAAAGCCTGGGCGGTGGCCGCGCCAGGAGAGGGGCTGTCGCCATTTAGCGACGTTCCCTGCGGGCCGCCGCTCCGCCGCGGGAGCCGAACCGGGGGGTCGGGCGGCGAGGGAGCGCGCGCCGGTCTTTTGCGACGGTGCCCGGCGGCGCTGGCCCCGCCCCCGGCCCGCCTCCCGCGGCCCGCCCCGCCCCGTCTCCGCCGCTGCGCTCGCTCAGGCCATCGGGCCCCCGCCGCTCTATTGGCCGACACCCGGCGACCGGCGGCTGGGAAGCAACGAGGCGGCGGCGGCGAGCGACGACCCACGCAGACCCAGGAGGTGGCCGGGCCAGAGCGGCGGCAGCAGCGGAGCGGCAGACGGGGAGCGGCGGGAGCAGGCTGCAGAATGCGCGTCCGCCGGAGACTGCTGCGGCTGCCGCGCCACGCTCGCGCTCGCCACGCTCTTCTTCTTCTCGCTGTCGTCCTCCTGCTCTACTTCGTCTATGTGGCGCCCGGCATGGTGGAAGGAAGCCTGGGGTCCTAAGGGGAGGGAGGCGCCGCTCGGCCTCAGGGAGCGGGGAAAAAATCTCAGGAACCCCTCGCGCCCCACCCTGACGGCGCGCCGACCTTAGGCCCCGGCGGAGGCCGCCGACCTGGCCGCGGAGACTGGGACTGGCCCGACCTCAGGAGACCCCACGCCCGGCCTTCGGGACGCCAGGACGTTCCGCCCTCTGCCCGGCGATTTGCCACTGCCCCCGCCTGCCTCCCGCACCCTCCTCCATCCCTGGCGAGCCCGACGATACCTTCTTTAGCCCGGGTGGTGCCCCTTCCGCCCTTGCCTCCTCGAGGCCCCCCCCCTTCCGCCGCTCGGCTCGAGAACTCCCACTCCTCCTCCCGGGGTCTCGGGGCCCCAGTTCCCGGCCATTCCGCCCGGACCCCGAACCCTTTCGGCCCTCCCGCCCCTCCTCGCCAGGCAGGTGGGGTGGGGTCTCGAGGAGCACCCACCTTCGGTTCCCATCCATCTTCCCCTCTCTTCCTCCCGGGTGAGTCCACCGTTTCCCTGCTCCCCCCTCCTACCTTTTCTTCCCTCCTTTCCTGTTATATCTACCTCAGTTCCTCCTCCCAGCGCACACATTCTCCTCCTCAAGTGGCCCTTTCGTCTCCGGGCACCCCACCTTGGTCACCCCCCCCATTCAATCCTGTTAAACCCTGAGCGTCCCGCCTCTCCCCATCCATCTCCCCCACCCCAAGGCACACCTTGTTACTCCGCCCGTACTTCTTTTCCTTCCCCAAATTCCCCCCACCCCCCTCCGGTCTCGGCCGCAGTTTCTTCCTGAATGAGACTTAGGCAGAGGGGCTGTCTGGACCCTTCCACCCTTTTTACTTCATCTCTCGTAGCCTTGAGGGGTAGAAATTTGGCCCTTCAGTATCCTGGTGCCTGCTCAGGGACCGGACACGTAAGTGGCCTAGAGGAGGAGATGTGATGGAGCCTTGGGGAAGTTGCCAGGTGGGAAGGAGGAGCATGGAGAAAAATGGAATGAATTACTCATTCTTCTGGAAGGCATGTCCTTTAAAGGCAAGACAGCCCCAGGAGAAACTTCGTTACTACTTAAGCATAGACTTTGTAAGACCACAGAGCAGACAGACATAAAGGACATGAAGAAAGAGATTGGAAGGAAATACAGCATGAGGGTTGAGGTCAGAGGACACCGAGGTCGGACTCGAATTCAAATCCCTGCCCTTTATGACCTTGGGCAGGATTATACAGGCCTCAGCCTCTGTAAAATGGGAGTACTAAACCTAGCCTCATAGGGTTTTAAGGATGGAAGTAGATACATTCTTTTTTAAAGCACTTAGGATGCACAGGGAGTTTTTGTACGTGTTTTTTTAAATTTTTTTTTTTTAGTTTATTTATTTTTTTTTTGGGACAGAGAGAGGACAGAGCATGAGCAGGGGAGGGGTCAGAGAGAGGAGGGACACAGAATCAGAAACAGGCTCCAGGCTCCTGAGCCATCAGCCCAGAGCCTGGCCGAGCCTCGAACTCACAGACCAGCCGAGATCGTGACCTGGCTGAAGTGGACAACAACCATTCACGCCTAGCCCCAGATGGAAGGTTTAAAGAATGTATTTGACTGACAGGGTGTCACCACACGCTCCAGAGAAAACTTTAGTTCAGGGTGAAAAATGACCAGAAGATGCTGTTGGGGCTGGGGCAAGGAGAGTAGATTCTGCTATAAAAAGTCTGGGTCATTTGGATGTTAGGAAAGGGTTGATGGGTTCACTATAGGGGCATGCCCTTTAGGACTGTAGTAATGCCTAGTGCCATTCTCTGTTGACCTGTCAACACTGAACTAGCTGAATAGAGAAATTTCCAGATAGAGCAGGAGATTCTCTCCTGATTTTTTTTTTTTTTTTTTAAGAGCGTATTTCACTTGCTGGTTAATATTGATGCTGTATACTATAAATGAAACCTGGAAAGATAGAACAGGCACCATCTGATTGTCCTAACAGTTTATGAAGTATCTTAGGGAAAAAACATCCCTCTGGGAGAGTATAGTATGTGGTCTGATGGATCAGATTAGGAGAGAGGAATTTTGGCAGAATGAGAACAGGTGAGTAATTAGTGGAATTAATTGAGAAAAGAGGTCATTAGCATATTAGTTATTAGACTTACTAACAATGGGTGTAAGATGATAGATTTAGACCTAGATGTATTCTTGCAGACATAAACGCTTTCTGTGACAGGTTATTTCTGTTGTTTGTACATAAATCAACCATATCCAAATAGCAGAATAATCCCACTGGGATGGTGATCACCCTTGAGATTAGAAAGGTTAGAAGGCACATTCTCCAGCAGAACTCACCAACTCAGTTAGAATTCCTCAACAATAAATTTTTAGGTCAGTGGAACCCCAGTGTAAAATGATGAATATTTACCATGCTTAGATTCCTGTATCATTGAAAACTGAAAAAGATGCGGTGCACTTACATTTTCACTAGTTTTTCCTTAAATGGAAGTCTTCTAAAGGGCCGATCTTCTCAGGATTCAACTTCTGTTAGTGGAGAATGTGAACTGCACAAAAGATGTGGAATGGCTTTAGGGTTCTTGTAGGCACAGTTATATTCAGCTGTTTGGTGGGATTTTTGGTCTCGTTTTTGTTTTTGTTTTGTTTTGTTTTTTAAATCTTGGCTTTCCTGTTAATACACTTAATTTCTCAAATGGCCAGCTTTGGACAGTGGGGTGGCAAATCTTTCCAAAGGTTAAGGCAATCTAGAGAAATAGAAGGTTTTATGTGCCTTGGGTTGTCAACACCTTAATTTGAGACAGTTATTAAAATGAGCTTAGAAAATAACATTAGGTTGAACCATATGAAATTTCTGTTTTTGCAGGTCAAAAACAGCTGTATGTTGGCAGTGTGATAATAGCTTAACCTGATTCATTTCCAAATAATGACATTTCTCACTTCTGGCATAATGGAAAGTGTTAGTGACTTACATTTCCTTCCGGGTTTAATTTTTTCCAGTCCTGCTTTTGATTTGCTTTATATACCCAGTGATCACGTTTTGCTCAAAGGCCTACAGAGAAATCATCAGTTCAAAAAGTGTGTTACAACTATATTCAGAAATAAGTAGACTTGAATTGAAATTGAGGTAAGAGAAAATTAATGTTAGTTTTAAATATTTTAAAGTTGTTCATATATGATAGAATCCAGCCACAATTTTAGCCTGCCCACTAACTTAGTATTTTTGAGTTCTCATGCCAGCTTTTAATATTGGTGACCTATCGTCCGAGAGCAAAGGGCAATATCCTGGACTTGAGGGTCATCTGAAATAGGGGTAATGGCACCATTCGACTCGGAAAATTGGATGTGAGGACTGTTGCTTGCTAGATACGAGTACACTGTGCTTGTAATAAGTACAAAGAGTTCCCAGCTGCTTTAATACCCCTATCCCAGTCCAGTTAGTGATTTCAAAATATGGCTTCACTGCATATTACATTTTTGTTATTAATTCAAAGGTAGTGTTTTATATCAGCAGGTTGAAAGTAGAAATGAAAAGGATGGGGCAGAAAATGTGATGAAGGTGGTGGGTTTGAAATGTCTGAAGCAGCAGCTGATCTGGTGATAAAAATGTGTAGGAGCCTCTCTAGCCCTGCCCCAGCCCCAGCCTGACCAATTCCCGTGTATTTAATCGCTGCTTCACCCTTCCTGGTGAAATATCCCTATTCCTTTCAGAGTTCTGAAGAAAACTTTGAACTTATTTATGATCCTTTAACTTCAAGAAAAAAAAATCTAACAGCTCAGAGTACATCTATATATTGCAGTCTGACCAGATCTTATAGAAGATAAGAGAAGTGAACTATTTATAGATGTACATAGGAAAGGCTGATTTAAAAGCATCTTAGTAAGTTTATGGGGCTGTTAGATGGGAAGGTTGTATAGAGGTTACTGACCTTTGCAAATTGGTAAAATAGTTACTAATTTTGAGAGAGGTGCCGTGCATGGTTGGAGGTAATAATCTATGTATTGACGAAACTTTATTAATTGAAGTTCTGCCATTGAAACTAATTTTTCTTTTGTCCTTGGATTACCGAGGAGAGGAAATGGGGAATGATTTTTCCCTTTTGGCTTGCTTAGTTTCAAGAAAAGTTTGATTTTTGGTTGGCTTTTGGAAGGCAGGAACCAGTAATGCTAATCCCACCTGATTTGACCAAATGACCTTGAGCAAGTCACTTGATTCTCTCTGATCTTATACTTGACAAAACCCCAAAGCTGTTTGAAAAACCAGAACTTCATCTTAACCAACTTTTTTTTTTTTAATTTTTTTTTTAACGTTTATTTTTGAGACAGAGAGAGACAGAGCATGAACAGGGGAGGGGCAGAGAGAGAGGGAGACACAGAATCTGAAACAGGCTCCAGGCTCTGAGCTGTCAT